GAACTAGATTGGCCAAAACTTTAAATACTAGCGAGATTAGGGTTCGAATTCGTGGTGAAATGCGTGAGAATCAGGCTTGGATTAACCATTAGTTAAGTGTATTTAGTGTAAGAATTGTTTGTGTCGGACTGATTTTGAATTTGTATATTAGGTTTGATGTTGTTTCGAAGTATCATCCTCTATATCTAGTCTAGAAAGGTTTCACCCGAAGAGGACAATTACAATAAATAGAAATAATAGAAGTACTACTAATACATCCAAACTTTAATATGTGAACATATTATTTATAAGCGAGAATGTTTTGGAATTTTTCCCACTTGTAACATTTCTTTCGCTAAGTAATATAATTATTACATTTATTATCATACATTACTATAATTATTTTCTCTTAAACGATATGTAGCAAATAGGTCGTTTAACTTATACTGTAGACTAATCTGATAACAAAACAAATAATAATTAGAAAAAGAAAGTATAAATCGCAGACACATACGAATAAATAAACAGAAGTAAGATTAAGCGATTTAATTCGAACCACGATTGCGAAACTTGATTTAAAATGATCGATGCCCAGTAGCGAGCACTCGCGTCTTCTAGCCGATGCCTGTTGATTTTAAATTCGCGACATTCGATCGAAGGATTTCGCCATGTGGACGGATTATCGCACAGTGGTCTGCCGCGTTTCGATACGCTTCCATACGTAGTTCACTTTGACCTCCAGTCTAAGGCTGATTTCATGCCGATTTCGCAGATAAAAGAACAGTCACGTTCGTTCGTCTCTGTCCATTTTAGCTCATCGCGTGGAATTACCATTCGAACGTCCGTCCAAGAGTCTAGACGGACAGGCTCGCCTTCTCGCGATAGTCTTTAATCCTGTCGTCCAAGTTTTTCTTTTCCAAAGGATTTCGCGACAGCTTCCACGTACAAAGTTTTCAAATTATAAACGCGCGGGATTATTATTTCATTGTTCGAGGTACGCGGTTTTAAAATAAAAATAAAACTTGAGTTGGTCAGAGGAACAATGTTGAACAACGTCACGTAATGTTAAACAGGGTCGATGATAGTATTGACATGTACTAATTTAGGAATAAAATATTAAAATATTAGAATTTAAAGATACTACATCGGCGAAGAAAAGTAAAATAATATCGTTGTATTTTCTATTATGTGTAGACATTATATTCGTGCTAATTTTGTATTATAATTTCTTCGAGTTGAACTTTGCCAGATGTATGAGGTTCGCGAATCAAAGAAGCTCGACAAATTTGCAAACAGTTGCGCCGCGTCATTGAGCATCAAATTTGGACACCAAAAATTAGCGGAGGTCGCTATTTTTAGGTCAAGGACGTGCCATTCGATTCCTTTACCATCCCCTCTTCTTTTCTGTCTACTATATGCTCCAACACCATGCCTATTAACTTTCGGACGCTTTGTTTGAACAGTGCGTTCCATTTTTCAACACTCGAACCTATCAACTTAATCTTAGATTCCACTATTATTATTACATTAAAAAATCTATCTGTGACTTGTAAAAGTGACTGTGACTTGCGCGAATTTATTCTGGATGGTATTTTATAATTTATATTTTAAACATAATCTCTGCAATATATTTCCACAGTTATTTATTTGAATTCTTTCCTCCCAAATTTAACATCTAGATTTTAATTGAAATTTAATTCTCATGCGCATAAACAGTTTATGTTTCGTTCTTCTTAAATACGTGTCCTTAAAATCAGAGATGAAAGTTTCGACGTGTTTCGTTTTCGTTGTACAGAGCAAGGAATAATTCAGTGTAGATATAAGGGAAGGATAAAATGCGAAGATCGTCGTGGAGATTTAGCCTATCGAATGCGACAACCCGTTACGCAAAACCGGACTTCCTGTCCCTGCGTCTGCAGAAGATTATCTCGCGAAGTAGGTCATTCGATAAAAATCTACGAAAGATCAAGAACCGCGTAGAAAATTGCGATTGTATCGATAATTAGGAGAATTTGAACAATAGATAACGAATAGATAGCTAGCAATTTATTCACGACTATTATATGATTCAAGAGATAAATTTTTAATTATTTATCGCGAAATATTTCATTCTACAGCTCGAATTTTGGAATTTAACAATTTTTAATTTAAAATTTAAGGACCATCGCCAAGCGTATGTACGAAAATGATTATTAATTGCATTATTCGATATACATCGTGTATATTTTTGGAAGCTTCTCCATATTACTGCACATCATGCATCAAATATAATGCATCAAATATAATGCATCAAATATAATGCATCAAATATAAGTCTACTAATTATCACTAAAAATTTGAGAAACACTGCCCTAACATTACATTAACGCCGTCGATAAATTTCTTCCCGTTAAAGAAACTAATAAAGGCAGAATTTAACGCGATTCATCGTTGATGAATTGCAAGTTAGTCGAATCTTGTTTCTCGTGCATCGCGTTATCATGTTCCAAGGATCGTTTTAGTGTTATTCGTCGTTGGTCACCGACGCAGGCGTGCACCGAGTGCGAGGTATATATCGTCGGTGTACTTTCTTACTTCTTGTTCTCGTGGTACCGTACACGTCGTCTTTTAAGCCCGGAATAGATTTAGGAAGCGTCGAGCTATGCGACGGGGCTTTGCCAAGTCTCTTGGTACATGAATGAGTTAGTTGCATGTGCGTACACGTGCTGGGCTAATTTATAGCATCGCGACGAATGGAGCGAATATCCCAGCGCGAAAATCGCGAGTCCTACAGGATACTCGTAGCGATGCGTTTAGGTCGCGACTGAACAAAGTATTTCGACGTGTTACAGTCTTAGAGAAACTATCATATGTTACGTATTACATGTTTTTTATTACATTTCGTGTGTTACTTGTATGGTACATGGTATATGTAACGTATTATGTTTGAATAAACATGGTGTTACACATTACACCTTCTCAATTACATAACACATGATAAATATTCGACGTTCTATGTTATACATCATATGTTACATAGTATTAGGCTGTCCCGAAAGTTTCTTTCGCTTTATTAATAAGTAATACATGCACGATATTTTATGTTTGATGTTACATTACTGAATTGTGCACGATTCAATTTGCTCCATTACTGTTACAACATCGATGTCTATCAAATTAGATTGTCTATTTATATAAACACTGTCACGTAAAATAATTGAGTGCATCACGCGAAAGAAACTTTCGGGACAATCTAATACAATTTAAAAAAAACATGTAATGTAACCATCTGGGAGAGCGCTGAGATCCAAATTAACCAAGATAAGAAAATATTAGACTCTGTGGAGTAAGACCGGAAATAATCGAGGTGATCAAGTTATGCGGTTCGCCTCGTACATTTCTGTCGATTTAAAAATAGAAGTACCTGTGAAAACTATTACATTACGGTTGAATTGTTCATCAGACAGCTGTCCTTGCTCGTAATTAATTTCAGTCTACGTTTGAACAGGTAAACGCCGATGACAACTTTAGTTTATAAATGAAGCCCTCCTTCGATGCAAAACTCTTCGCTTGGCGTTCATTATTATTATTATTATTATTATTATTAATGTGGGGATTCTCTAGTACGAAATGTGTTAATACACGATACAACAATATTAAAAATATTAATTATTAAAAAAGTACCAACACATTTGTCCGACGTACAACTATTTCAAGAAAAGACGCCGAGGATAAAGTTTTGAGTAATTGTAATTATTTTAATACACGAATATTAACCCTTTGCACTCGAGAGGTGACTCTCAGTCACCATTAGGTTTCATGGAGCAAATCTACAATACCCAAAGTGTTTAGATTCAATTTCTTTGGAGCTCGACGTATCAATAAAATGATTGTCGGTGAGGTAAAGGTGACCTTGTTCTAAAATCTCGATAGCTTAGAATTCATAGCAATAGAATGTTAAGAAACATCTTGAGTTGCTGGTAAATACAAGAAAAAAGGCCTCGACTGCAAAGGGTTAAGATACACGACGTATAAAAAAAATTGCTAGTTGGAATAGTTGTGTCGCGTTCGTTATGGTTGCGGGGTGTTCGTATCGAACCCATCGCCACTCCAGAGAGGCATCCGCTAATCTTAGGCGAGAACGCAGTCATTCAGGTTCGGGCATAGAATAGAATGGGGCAAGGGAAGCTTTGTCGTCTGCATCGTAGAACGCAAGGAATTGGCGGTGGGCTCCATGAATGCCGTCCAGAATGAAACTTTTGAGATCGCCCAACTGCTCGGGAATTACCGCTGTAAAATCTTCGGCTTTGCGAAGTGCCTACCGCCGGGAAGCATTTACCCTGGGAATTTCTCAATGGCAAATTTTACGAATACATTCGCACTCTAACAACATTTAACGAGGAATTTTCTTCCTTTCCAGACTAACGATTACCTGGAACGTTTAGAGTGCTAAAGTATTTGAAATGCAAAGAGCAAGTTTTCTTTACTGATACCAAGGAAGGGCATATTTTGACGAATTTTGAACATGGTGAATAAACATACAATTTATCAAAACAACTATCACGTAATCTAGCAAATTTTATGATAGATGTTTTGTATTGATTGTATAGACAATATTTAGAACCTACAAATATGACAATTAAATTCAAATCTCAATTGATCGCACAAAGAAGTACGATTATTTTTATCTTAACCAAGAAACCAATAAAAATTATAAGTAGTTCAAATTGAATATCCCTAAATGTTTCCATTAAAATTTTGTTGAATATTTATAAAGTAAAATCAATTATAACTCCTCTACTTGATCAACTTTGTAAATTTTAATTTAATCGTGACATTTGAAGGTTTCGAACACCGAACGAAATATCACACATTTCGAGTCAACCGAAGTCGCGCTTAATTGTTACCCAATCGATTAATAATTTCGCGGCTAAAGATTGCTAGAATGCGATTAGGTACGGTGTTGTTCGAAAGTGGGTCGTGTTAACTCCGCGTTATCAGTTGAGGATTAAAGAAAATCTTGTAATCAGACTTTGGAAAAGGTTCATTTTATTTTGCAGAGGAGGAGCCGCTGGAAAACAATAGGACGAATGGGAATCACTCGGCAGGTTCACGAGGGAGTCCCGTGATCTCGAGCACGCGAGTAACGCCACCCACGGCAAGTGCAAACCCAGGTCACCTGACCGCCCTTCACTCCACATCGCACCATCATCTCCCTCCTCACCAGCAGCAACAGCAGCAGCAACAACAGGCGCCACAGCAACAGCAGCAACCGCATCACCATCACCACCATCACAACAACCACAACAGCACGCATAATCCTTACGTGGAGAATCACAATTCGAATCATTCGCAGCAGAACACCGGCAATCTCGTCGTCGACGTCGAGCCTAGCCACGACAGTAAAAAGCATCGAAACGGGTGAGAATACTTTATTATTCTATTATTCGATTGGATTTTGAAAATAGGACGTTTTATTTTAACGCTGTCACTGCGACTTCTATTTATTTCCAGTAATGTAATTTAAATTAGTAATTTAAAATTCAAAAGAATCAATCATTCATTTTAACACGTTGATCGCCACGTCACCCATATATATGGGTGACAGTGATTTTCACACAGAAAATTAATTCTGAAAGTTAAGTGTCACAGAACATGAATTTAAATAAAATACTTGAACTTTAATGAAGTTACAAAACTAAACGCCACAATAAATGTATCATTACACAGTTTTCCAATAGTCTGTAAACAAAATTTAATCACAGTAGAAATTTTCAAGAGTATTAGCCTGGCAGTGAACGTGTTAAGAGAGTGCCCAATGATTAAACATAGATATATACGGCTTACCATGACTTGTATTTATTTTTAATAATCATTTTAGATCCAGAATAATTGACTATTATTTTTGAAACTGCCCTATATAATATGGTGCCCAAGGAAAACCCTTCAGGCTCTGCCTTGTCACGCTCCTGACTACGACCACGATCTTTTTTATTCTTTACTCCAAATTGTTCATCTTCAATGAGAATTTGCCCTCCCTTGCCTTCGCAAGGTAGTTGCTTTAATTTTTTTTTTTGTGGATCAAGTTCGGCTGTGCGATCAGCTGATCGAGACTCCCACAGTGCGCACCAAAAATCACATCAATTGCTTATATCTCGATAACGAATCCTCATATCGCAAAATGATAAAGGACTTTCCTATTCGTATTGGCGCGAAGACGTGGCCCCAACAAATACATATTTTCACACATTTGGAAACGCTCTGTATGTCTCGCAAGGGAACATATCCAACTGCCCGTCTCTGATTTTGATGAAACTTGGTGGGTACATTAAGCAGGTGAAAATAAGGGATACGTATTTTTTTTATAGCTGCTCAATCGCAAGTTTAGGGGTTGAAGCACCCCTTGAAGTTTCAGCAGAAAAATGCTATCTCGAAAACTACAATAGATATAAGAAATGTTCTTCGGGAGAAGTTTCATGGTTTCATGAGGTAAAACGAAAAGTGGTCACAGATTATGTAAAATGTAATTTGTTTATAACGAAGAAATTTTTTGTTACATTATTTTAAGAGATACAAAAATTTATATAACGACAAAAATGAACGGAAATTGCTTTCCGAATCCATTGATATACAGTACGATACATTTGCCTCCTACACTTTTATAAATTTTTGTATAATATGAGTGTGTATGTGTATGTATATATATTAGTATGAGATACATATTTATTAAAAATTACACGATTATTTAGTATTAACAATAATAATATTAATTATATATCTATGCATTGCAGTATGATATTGTTAGGAAATAATTTGATGCTTGAAAATTAATATCTATTAATAACAAAATTCTGACGCCACGCACAAGTTATGATGGCAACATTTCCACAAAACCGTATCACCACAAATTGATATTTTATGCCCGGACGATATTTTTATACTTTTCAATAAATTATTTCCTAACAATATCATACTGCAATCCATAGAAATATAATTAGCATTATTATTGTTAAT